ATGCACTATTGTTTATCTTTCATTAACTGGGAAATTGCAAACCTAGTGCTTTTAGGAAATGCGTCTTGACCAAATTAAAATTGGGTTCGTTAAATTTTTATGTATATGACTACCTAAAGCTAACCCGTTCTGAGAAAAGGAGCTTTGTTTTATAAGTGAATTCGGGCTATAAAATTTTATTGTGTTATAATTTACCTTGCACTTCTTTTGACACAAGATTTTCACTTTTCTGAGTATTAAATTTCATCAAAAGCAAAAGTTTCCTCATCCAATTTCACCACTCCCAGGATAAAAAGGGTTTGAGCTGAAGTGAAAAAAAGAAAAGGAAGATTTGCTAACTTTCTATGTATATGATTTTCATTCTTGTTCTATAACGAAGAATGCGACTAAACTAGTTAATGATAAAGGACGCCGCTTCCAGGAAGAGTGGAAATTTGGGTATTTTGCGCTGTACGACTGACCAAGTAGGCGTGTTTGATTTGTTTGGAGAGTGCAGTCGTTTTCAAGAAATTCAATCTCAAATGGCACTATCAAACGTAGCATACTATCTATGACAAGTTGACTGAAAATGAACGGGTTGAGAAGCTTGAATAACCTCACTTACAATTAAAAAAATTATAACATATGTCACTCTTGGTTAGTATCTTAATGTTAGACTGAATATGGCTCATTCCATTTTCACCTCACGAAATGTGGCCCTGCTCACGAAATGTTAACACACCCTAGTCTAGTCTATGTCATTATAGTCAGGTCGCGTCGGTGTCACCTCATTTGCTTCCTGTCCACTGCTTTTGCGATGACGCTGTTCACCCGAACCAGCAGCTAACATACGGAATTTCAGTGTGTCACTTACGAAAAGCCATATGATGAAAAACGTTGTTGGTGCTACCTAGAGATGGTAATCCACATCGACGTATTACTCACGTAACATTTAATCGCCGATACATTGAATGACCAGACGACAAGTAAGTCATGTTATTGCCCACAATAGATAAGGTAGTAAATGGCCCCCGAAGCCAATTGCAATATCCCTAGTAGCTGACAGCAAAGTATTCACTTGGAGAAACAAGAGGGCTATTAAATTCTCATCACTCATTTTCGGTGAATAATATCAAAATCCAGTTGGCGAGTTTCATGGTGTACTGCAGCTTAAAATTTCAGTGACATATAAACATTTTGGTGTAAAACGGGGAACGGTACGTCCGTCACGTCTCCGTTACTGTTGTACGTAATCTACGTCTTCAGTTTGTCCATAATACACATACATTTCACATCTAAGCACTGACACTGGGATTATGGTTAAGAGATTGTTATTGCAGATTTTTAACCTTATGCATGTTTCGTCACCATTTACAAAACTCAAAACAGCTTCGAACCGCATCTATCGCTCACACTTCTAACGCAGGCGAAACGGGCTCCTATTAAATCACGCCTTCGCTGTCCTCGGGAGCATACTGTGTGCCACCTGTGTTCACGCCAATCAGGCCGCCTTGCTGTTCGTTGGCCGCTTCTTCTTAGGTCTCAATTGTGGTATCACGACGGGTATCTCTCCGATGTATCTGGCTGAAGTTGCACCTCGCGAACTCCGTGGAACGGTTGCAGCATGCAATGCTCTGGGTATCACCTTAGGTGACGTGGTCGCGTACTTGGCCACATTGTCCAGCACATTGAACACAAACGAATTGTGGCCCATCGCATGCGGATTGTGTGTTGTGCCAGCGGCAATCTCCCTCCTCATTCTGCCATTCTGCCCAGAGAGTCCGCGTTTCCTGTTTATGAAGAAAGGCGATGAGATTGCGGCACGGAAAGCTTTTTGTCGTCTCAATTCCAATGAGAACGTTGAAGCGCTTGTGTGTGAATTAATGGAAGAAATGACGAGTGTCAAAACCAAACCTCAATTCAGGTTCACACATCTGTTCACTCGAAAGGATCTCCGCATGCCGGTATTGCTTGCATGTATACTTGTGATGCAACAACAGTTCTCTGGTATAAATGCGGTGAGGCGGAACAGTGTTGTTACTAATCTTATGTTACTAGAAATACATGTTTTATTTAATCGTCACATACACTATCACTATAATTAACCAGGCTTAATATATCCACTGTCACTCTCAGGCATGACCAAGCGGTTGCGCGCCCAGTATTTTTGTTCGCAAATCGTAATGATGAAGCCCGAGCCCATAGAGCCTTCTTCAAAATCAGGCTGCAGTTTCCGCATCACTTCTTTACTGCGGTCCGCGCAATGTCCACTTACATTTGCGCGGCGCCAGCAATAAAACTTGCTTAAATATCTCGAATTTGTATCCAAAAGTATTTCGTGACCACTATCTATCCGACTAAATACAGGCTGATGTATTCATTTACGAGTTAACTGCTGGCTAGATATTTTTCTTATTTGAGGCAGGATGCCAAAGTGGAGAGAGAAGTCTTTATCTTCACTTGTTTGAATAGTCCGTTTGACTGTACAATGTTTGCGCTGTAGCGTACAGTGACGGTCAGCTCTGTATACTACGAAGAAGCGCTATTATTGCAGTTAGCTCAGTGTATTGCATCGAAATCGCATTCATGAGTGGTACTTTGGAACTGTACTTTCCCATTAACCGCTGCTTTGTTCCACAAGATTGTAGCCTGAGTAAACTTTGTACCTTACGATTCTCCCTTGCTCATCGAACCATTGTGATATGACAAAGTAGCTCACTGCGAATAATCATTCAACGGGGCCTTATAACCGTGTTCTAAATAGCGGCCTATTGACTAAGCCCCAGTCGTTCGGTATTTTTTGCACTAGCTGTTGCTGGTACGAGTGAGTAGTTCGAAAACGAAGCATAGGCCTGTAGCCAGCGGCGTTTATCAGGGTAGCTTTCTACCTCCTCTACTCTTTCTACTGTATGTGCACGTGTTACGTTGTTTCTCTCACGGCAGACCATTGCTTTTTGCTGTTGATATTAAAGTTGTATTCCCACTTGATGTCAACGGAACAGTTGATGATCTGTCTCATATCCAGAGCGAGCTTAAGGCGTTAGCCTAGTGGTCCGACCTATGGATCATTGAATTTTCCCCCGCAAAATGTCATTTCGTAACGGTGTATGCTTCCGCCCAGTATACTTGCAGTAAAAGGGGAACTGCTTAGCAAGTAAAAAAGAAACCTTTTATGGTGTTGCTCATCCCAACACGGGCACCCCAAGACCGCGGTTTCGTCCTGGTTAGGACTCATCAGTTGGAGATAGCCTGAGTTGGGCTGGAACTCAGAGCCTAGTGGCTCATGGTTGACACCATGAGCACTATGCCACTGAGATCCGCGAGCAACGCTTGATACAGCGGAAACGAATTCAAAGATGGACTTGGAGAATCCGCTGGTGCTTGGGTTGCTACAAGCAACCTCTATTGAGGCTTCGGTTCACTTGAGGTGGACTTCGGCCATTCCGATCTTAAAGACCGTAAGTAAAAAGTGGCATAGTGCTCATGGTGTCAATCATGAGCCACTAGGCTCTGAGTTCCAGCCCAACTCAGGCTATCTCCAACTGATGAGTCCTAACCAGGACGAACCCGCCGTCTTGGGGTGCCCGTGTTGGGATGAGCAACACTATAAAAGGTTTCTTTTTACTTACGGTCTTTAAGATCGGAATGGCCGAGGTCCACCTCAAGTGAACCGAAGCCCCAATAGAGGTTGCTTGTAGCAACCCAAGCACCAGCGGATTCTTCAAGTCCACCTTTGCTTAGCAAGTACTTTATAGTACATGATTTAGAAGTATCCAAAACTAGATAATAGCACTTCACCAAACATGTCCGATATAGCATAGCTAAGGCCAGATCAGGCATTAGCTACATTTGCAAGTCGCTTGTGCATAGGTAATCTAGACCTGCTTTATGTACTTCCTGGGCTCAACTGATACTAGAATACTGATAATTGGTGTTCAATAACTCGAAGAAAAGTGGCCGAATAACAAGGAAGAGAATGCGACTCCCATTTACGATGCGCCTACCGGAATCGTTAGAGTGACAGTAGACTTAAAAAGTTCCAGTTGGATCGTTTGTGGCTCCACAGGTTCAAAGTCATCTTCGTCTTTCTGTTCCAGCCGCTGAACAGCTGAACTGTAAATACAGAGCACTTCGTTCGGCGGAAAGATGCCTAAAGTTATCCACTACGAACCAGCTCGTAATCGATTATCTTACCAAAAGCTCATACTAGCACGAACTATAGTTGTTTCTCCTACACATACCAATGGTTTACAAAGTGCCTCACTACTTCACGCATAGTTCTCAATAAAACTGTGTCGGCGTTCCTTGCAGCACACAAGTTCTGAGAAAGAGATCCAGACCAATCCTAATTTTACACCTTGGCAATAAATCTAGCCATGTTGTTCGCTGTTATCATTACAGTTTGGACCAGATAACAACCGGTAACATTATTGCAGCCACTAGTTGACCTGCTTTGTACTGGCACTGGATCTTCATGCAATGCGTACTGCCCAAGCAAAACGTTTGGTGGGCAGAATCCAGTAAAGGCATTAGTAAAATACAAGCATATACATACCGCTTAAATGCTGCTACAGTTAACCTCTAATAAATGGCGATGAATAACAGGCAAACTTTGCTTTGTTGTGCTTCAGGTGTACGTAGAAGCTGTTCATCTACAGGCGTCCACCTGACTCCTGATCTAAAGTCATCCACTCATCTCTTAACCTTATCACTCTTTCTTCCCATGACTATCCTGGATGTGACGCACAACTCTGAATATTCATTACTAGGTCTTTGCGTACCTGCCGTGTGTCTGGATTGCGACAAGCAATCCCAACGGAGACCACCGTGTTGAGAGTAAGCGGCTCCAAAACTCTCCACTTCGCACGCGGTCGCAGGGATTGAAGCGACATAGGTTTGATTCAAAGTAAACTGTAGCCACAATCTAGATTACGTGTCGCAATCGGGACACACTCCGGGTATTCCAAGATGTCTTATCTTTGCACGATAGCGAGCCGTTTGTGACGGTATGTTGTCTACACAAGGTATAGGCGCCTTGGCACTGAATGTTTGCTTAGGGCATTAAGATTTTCAGGTAAGTCCCCCTTCTCTCCCTCTTCTTATTCTTTATTTCATAGGTCCTTGTGGTTGTATGGCAGCGAAGCATCAGTTCAAATGGCTGATGTACTGCTGTTGATGATGATGATGATGATGACTCCAAGACGCAATAATGAGCTTCTAACCGCTGTGTCATGTGCTGGTGGGAGCTCTGGCCTAGTGACCAAAACGAAAGCAGTCAAACACTGTGTTGAGCTCCGCTCTCAGCTCATAGCCAGACTAAAAACGAGTAATTGCCCATCTTTCACCGGTCAGCACAACGTCATACCCAAAACACACATCCCACGACTCATTGCTACGAACGGCAAAACTTCCCTGCATGTACATCACAGCACATGGTCACCTGAACAAGCTTGCCGAGCTACGGCTATGTCACGTATCATAATGAAAAATTGGCTGTATTCAGAAATTACCGATGCCGAAGTAGTAATACATGGTATGTCCTTCATTCGAAACGATTGCCGCTGCAGGACAGCAAGGTAATTATATACTATCGCAATGACCTGCAGTGCGAGCCGGTGGACCATTCGGAAATACTACTCAGAGACTCGCTCTGATGTAGCCTGCGACAAAGGCGCAACGATACCTGCTTTTTGGCAGTCGCTTAGCGCCCCCACTAATGTCTACCCCGTCTGACACTAGTATTAAGGAGGGTACATCGACGACGATAAAGCATGTTCTTATCTCCGGAGAGTTCAATGTTCACGGTTCGGAAATTCCGGCTTTTCTCAACGAACAATTCAAGACAGACCTATAAGATCTTATTGCAAGTATACTGCTCTTTAGCCATGTCAGTTCGCCCACCAAATTCAGAACGGGAAATAAGGCATTCGTGTTGGACTAGGTGCTCACGAACGAAGTGCGCATAATCAAGAAACCACAACTGGAGAGCCCACTAGTGCGGAGTTATCTGTAAGAATAGTTTACGACTATGTGTGTTATGATGCACATCCAGAGGAACATAGTGAGTTATTTCGAACAATCACCACGACGACATACTCACAGAACTTGTTGGGGATGCCATTCGGGCTTTTTCGGACAAGTGCTACACTGATACTGCATGGACGGAGTTTCTTTGCAAATTCAACAATCTGATTAAATCCGCACCACCAATCGTTAGGAGCGGAACCCGAAAACGCATAGCGTTAAGAGACGCAGTGTGGCATGTGTATGGGGGAAAATATAACCCTGACAACTGGAGCTACTATGTAATGCATCGTAAGCACTGTACCACACTTGAAAGTGACGACAAATTAGTACACCAACAGAGTCTAGAGGAATGGTTTTTGCTAACAACAAGCTTCTGTACTGGTATGTGAATATACGCCAGAACGTGAAACGTGGTGTTCTCCCATTTGCCTCAGTAAATGAATGTGCTTAAGCTACAGAGGTTGAAGCCAAAGTTCTGTGGCTGCAAAATACTAAAATATTTCGATGCGCCACCAGCATATGTCACATACCAGGTCCTCCAGACGCCAATATTCACATACATCACGTTTAGTTCTGCGACTGTTTTGAGGAAGATGATATCGTTGCGCACTCAAAGTTCCCCGGGTATTGACAACATTCCACCAAAAGCCCTTCAAGTGACAGTTATGCGGATAGCGGAGCCATTAACTCGCTGTTTCCAAAGCTGTTTGAATGAACAGGAGGTCCTCAACACGTGGAAACAGGAATCATCACCCCAATTTTCATGGGTGGTAGCGGTTAGGATCCCGTCCACTATCGTTCAGTGACTCTCCTACCGGTGCTCTTAAAGTTGTTGGAGTCGATCATAGCTGAAGCATTAATCTTATCTGATATCATAGCACAGGAACAACGCGGAGTTCAACAGCATCCCACAAGTACTATCAATTTGGTGATTGCCTGTGGCAGAGAGACCGAAATAGCCGACAGTGTGATCGGCAGTGTTGTCATCTAC